GATACTTCATCCATTGATGAAGATGTTAATCAGTGGTAACAGCCAACACATGCAAGCACACAAATCAGTAACTTACCAACAGATGGAGACTCGGATTTTTCTGCATTCACTGCAGGCTGGCTATTGATTGTGAGGAAACCCTTCAAGTTGATTTTGCCCAGCTGCTCATTTATGATTCTTGTCTCTGGCTGAAGCCCATCCAATTCAGACCAAGGGTTGCTTCTTAACTTCCCCAAGCAAAATTTCTTAAATTTCTGTAGGCAACATTAAGAAGAACCCACATCAGCATATCCCTGAGAGTCTTTAACTGAAAAATGGAAATAACACGAAATGCTACAGCTATTTAACATGGAAAAAATACCTCATGAACATCTTCAATGCTTTTCAAGGGAGTAACCCATTCGTCATTAAGTCTTTTGTCACGTGCACGTGGTCGCATGAACTTTGGAGAAAATTACAACTTGTATAAGTGGATGATAGCAATAATAGTAAAGAAACAGAGAACTTCATGAACATCAATACAAATTTTTCAACAGAGACTGACATGAGGAAAAATAGATGCATTTGCGGTATCTCTTTTGCAAAAATATGATACTCAAAAATCACAGAATTCAGTTTTAACTTTAGAAGAGAAATGAAGGTTGACATTGGAGATATCAAAATTTAAAAGATCATATATTTGTGAAATTGGATAGCGAACTTATAGTATATGCCACAATTTACTAGGACTTTCTGCAGCTGTAAAGGTTTTGTCCTCACATACAAGAAATAGTGATATGCTAAGGAATATTCTGAAACTCAAGGGCCTCTGAGGGTTTTCTTCAAAACAAAAAGGGGCTTCTTAGGATTATCCAGAGAGATTGTTTCATAGGAGAACTCTCAAAGTTCTGCGAAACAGAGTTTGAAGCAGTCAATTTTTTCCTAGCCAAAGTTAATAGTTTGTTTCTTAAAATGATTGATCTTGGATCTTTATGTCTAGGTTTCAAACACAAACTTTATAGAACCAATAGTTAATTGTTGGTTTCTTAGGTATTGTAGTTCTCACAACCATGTCTACTTGTTCCAATTGGTTATCCCCGCCACATCCAGAACCTATGCATCCAGAACCTATGTTTTGTCACGCTTCAAGAAAACATGACACAGCTTGCATTGCTTTAGAGTTAGCAGCATAAACCAAAAAAAACCAACTCCGTGAATATGCATCAACAATAAGAATTATTGATGGATCACAACAAACAGATAAGAGACCAGACTAAAACTAAAAAACTGCGTTGAATCTTGAAGGAAATGAGAAAATTAACATAATAGGTTCATGAAGTACCAAATTTAGCAATAAATTAGGAAAATATGAAGTTGAACTACGAAGTACCTGATAGTCAGTGAGACCGCCATATGATGGATTACTCGAATCGCTCCATCGCCCATGAGGATACTGATCCCAGCCTATAGTTCTTGATATGTAGCTCTTTGGACGATTGGCCCTACCAAGATCAAGATATCAAAATTTCCAAAATATACCTCACTATAACCAAATGCAGCAAATAATGAATTGGTTACAAAATGATTGACTTAAAATGCTCTTCAATAAAGCATACCAGAATATTGGACGAACATCTTCTTTAACACGGAAAACATTTGTTGGACGTCTCCAAGGTAGAGACCGTGCAACTTTGGACTCCTCAATCAAACCAAGATTCTGTCAACATTGATCCTCTCGTTATGACTAGGAACCCAGATTAAGCAGTAGGCATACTCTTGTAAAGACTACGAAAGGACACCTCAAGACAAAATAATGAAAAGGGTTTGAGAAACCACCATTAATATGGCCAATGCTGATTTCTCCATGTTTAGTGTGTAAAGATGCAGAGTCTTAATTCCGTGAGCTAAAATCTTCCGGCACATTTCAGTTCCAAGGTGAATGCCATAGGATCTGACAGCTTCTTCATTGTCCTTTATAGGCTCCAATGCAGCGGTAATCTCAGCAGGTACCTACAACACATCATTATCAAGTGAAAACATTTAATTTCACCAATCTAAACGGTAACCTCAGCTTCTTCACCATAACTTTAGGAATGCTAATTTTAACTGTGAAACTCACAAACCATAATATAGCTCAACATTTAGACATACGTCCAGGCACCAATTCTTCAAAGAACAACTTCAAAATGACAATCTCAAAACAAACTTTTATTTTAGAGCACATACCTTTGTTTTGCAAAAACCTGTCATACGTAAGAAGCCCTTATAGTTATTGATGGGCATTATCCCAGGAACAATGGGACATGTAATTCCAATTTGGCGACAATCGTCCACAAATTTGAGGAAGATATCAGTGTCATAGAAGAGTTGAGTGACAATAAGATCTGCTCCAGCATCAACCTGTGCAAGAAACAAAGATTAACCCAAAGTCGGCGAAAATGAAAATGAAAAGCAGCTTAACAAGCAATGAAGAAAACCTTTTTCTTCAAATATGCAAGATCACTCTGATAAGCTTCTGGAGGAGCCACGCCATCGTTTGCAATTACATCTGGGTGTCCCTCTGTGTAAATAAATGTGAAAATTCATATTACTAGCTAATTCTCAAAAGATGTGGAAATAATAAAAGGAAAATGGAGAAAAATGAAGAACCTGGATATCCAGCGACAGTGATGCCGAAGTAATCACCGTAGTTGCCCCTGATATGTTTCACCTGGAAATCAACCAAACAGAGTATATGAAATTGAAGACGACAGACCAGACGTGCAAAAAGTTGAAACAAGAAAAGGGGGTTGGAAGTGAGAAGTACCAAGTCTAGGGCACAGGCAAAGCCACCCTCGACCTGCACGAACTTGTCCTGTCCATGGGGAGGATCCCCGCGGAGGGCAAGCACGTTCTGGATTCCATTGGACTTGATATTGTTCAGGGCGTGATCGATCTTCTCAACAGGCATGTTGGTGCAAGTGAGGTGCATCATAGTTTCCACGCAAATCATGTTCTGCATCTTGTTAGCGATGTCGAGCGTCAGATCAGCGGTGGAGCCGCCAGCACCCCAAGTGATATCACAGAATGCGGGGTTGTGAGTGACCATACGATCCATCCTGTCGAACAGGTTGTCGACTCCATCGTCGGTCTTCGGAGGGAAGAATTCGAAGGAGAAAACAGTTCTTCCTTTCTCAGTCTCGGATCTCACCTTGTCTATCACCTTCATTTTTGCTTCTTCTCCTTCGCTGTCCAATAACCAGATCTACGTATCTCTGGAAAATGAGGGAGATGAGATTCAGATTTGCGAATGTGAATTCGCAGAAAAGAGACAGAGGAGATTAGGAGATGACAGCTCTGCAGTGGATCTATGGTATATGTATAGGCTGTATTTATGTACGCACGGCCTCCCAAGAGTTGGAGACTCGCCCACTCGCCACTCGCCACTCACCAACCCAACCAACTACTACCCCGATTCGTAGGCCTCCCGATTTTTATTTTCTTTGTCCTAAAATAATAAAACGAAATCAAATAATCGCCATTCTTTTTTTAAAGAAAATAAAAATAAAAAAACAATGTTGGTTTATTTATGTTTATTAACACGTGCTAAAATGAGATGTCCCGTTTTTTATTTGTAGTATAAAAATGTCTTTATTCCAAAATTATTTTATTTACGAACATATATATATATATATCACTCACTCTTCTAGTGAATAAAATTCTGTAAAGGAATTTTTGTAGTTTTAAATAACTCTAATAATTATACCGTTAATATTCCATTTATTTAATTATAAATAAGTAACTGTCTGTTGTTTTGTAGCTTAAAAATTAGATTAATTAACTTGAATGAAACAGGTACTAGTCAATTTTTCTAATTAAATAAAACGTAATAAATTGAAAGAAAATTGTCCAAAATTTTAATTAAATTATATAAATTCACAAAATGTCCTGTAAAAATTCCCAATTGGTCCAAACTCCAAACTTGGAGCATTTTTTTTTCTTTTCCTAAATCCGGTGAACCCATAAAGCAACCGACTTGTCCCCATCCACCCCACCCTCTTCCCACCACCAACTTGTCACCCACATGATCCCCTACAAAAAAAAAAAAAAGAAGACAACATAAAAGAAAATGCAGAAAAATCAATCTTGCCTGGGTTGGTGAATGGGGACCCACAACACCTACTCCATTCCCGTCCTCGCCGATTCCTCGGGGCCGAACCATAATGTCGTCTCCCTCACTCAAACCAAATCAACAACCATGACGAGAAGAATCTTGGACCTCGGCCAAAATGATTACAATATACACGTAGTAATCGTGGAAAAGACGTGATACACAGATTTGAATATAATCTAAAATCCTTTCCATAACCAGAACGAAACAAATTACAACAACAATTGTTGAATTAAGACAAAAGACTACAAAGGCATATGCATATATGTATGAGATCATTGTCAAGACTTTTTAGCAACCACAATAAAGACGTAGAAACATCAGCCTTCGCCGTTAGCTTCTATAACCCATTTACCAGTTCCCCCAAATGATAACATATATATATATATATATATATAAATCATTGAATACAAATTATAAATTTCTTTATTATGGATGGGGAATATAGAAGGGAGAAATGAATGAGAAGAAAGTATGAAGATTACTACAACAGTCTTTCTGTTGAACCCTGTGGGCGGAAGATTTCTTTACCAGCGCAAAAAGGGTTACCTTGACACAACAACAATCTTGTCAACCCGTTTGAAGCAAGCTAGATCTTTATGTCAGTGCAGCAGAACCGGGACTAAGTTGAGTATAACAAACATTTTCCTTTCTTAACCTGCAATGTAGGCTAGAAAGTTAAATCCTTATGGTGTCTACTTATTGCAAGTTCATTAGTGAAGGTCTCTGTATCAACTTAGTGAAAACCGGTGTAAAGTGGATAATGAGCATTAATGGCGTAACTTCTCTGTTTGCTTTTGATTCCTCAAATTTGCTAAAATGAAAAGATATAATTGCCTCAAAAGGGAAGTCCAGAAATATACATGCATGTTTTCTTGAAGGTGAACAAGAAAGAAAGAACCAATCAAGTAGGAATGTACCTACCACATGATAATAACATCACAAAGATACAAGCTCCCAGTCCTCTTTTGACATGTCAAGAAATTCAACACTGCCATCTTCAAACATTATCTGCAACATCGTAGATGCAGTTACGTATAATCATAATGCTCAGTTAATACAAATTAAACAAACTAGCCTCTATCTTACCGTGTGTTTTCTTGAATATTTATCAAAATGTTTAATTATTCCAAAATACCTGGAAAAAAACATATTTAAGGAGAAAATAAAAATTGAGTACCATCATAAAGAATTAATAAAGATTTTAAAAAAAGAAAAAGTGAAACAGAAGTAATAGCAATTTACTCAAAATTAAATCCATCAAGACACAGAATCCATAAATAAAACCTTAAACACATAACCTTTATCCAAATGAACATCTCCCATCAAATTATCATTAATAGGTCTCACCCAATTAACAGGTCTCACCCAAAAAATAGAACAAAGAAAGAAAAATATTAACTTTCAATCCTCCAAAGATTTTCATCTGGGCATCTATCCTGTAATGCAAAATTTTTACTGTATCTATCCTGTAATCCTGTAAGTACACCAGCAGAGCTGCTTTTTAAATAAAGATAGGTAGAGAGAGAGAAAGATTACAAAAATTATTCTAGTTATATGAAAAAATTGTTTTCCCAAAATAGTACATTACACAAAATAAAATAATGCAAAAGAATGAAACAAATGTGGGAAAGAACCTCTGGTTCATGGGACGAGATATCCTGACTACTTCACCAATGCAATTGTGAAAGCAGATTTGGCGCCGGCCGTGAAAAAGCTGCGAGCTTCCTAAAGCATAAATAATGTCAATTACAAATTTCCAATCCATTAAACATGAAGGTGCAAAATCATAAATGCAGCATTGAGGAAAGTATTTTACCTATATGCAAATCCCCATTTTGACACACCTAATAAAAAACCAATCCACAATAAGCCCAAATTTTAGGAAAAAATCTTCAAAATGAGCAGTAAATGACCAAGCTAAGAAGCTCAAAGTTGAAATGCTTCAAATTGTTAAATGGACATTTCAGTAGCAACTTGAAAACTAAGACATGAAAGAGCATTGCACCATCTACAGGGTCTGAATCATATCATTTACCAAATGACATGTATAACATCAATGTTAAGTAGAAATGAGGATCTATTGGAGGTCATGCCAACCTCACTTTAGAGCTAGAAGAGAGAAATGTAGCAAGTGGAAGGACATGATGAAGAAACTAACAATCTTGGAGATAATAATCAAAACCTGACAATGTATTTACTGCAGGCAAAATTTGACAGGAATATGACCTACTTGAAATGGCTATGACAAAAAAATAACCAAAGATTATACAAAAGACTAACATGAGGCACATGCTCTCTGAACGTAACAGTAGTTAAGAGGTTATTCTGCATTGTTGATTTGCCATCAAAATTAATATGGAAATTATCACTGGAGCCAAAAAAAAGTCACTACAGAAACAGACATACATCTTTTCCCATAATATTTGTTATAAATTTGGTAGAGTTCGCTGCCACTTGGCATGCTACTAGCTTCAAAGCAGCATCAGAAGACATTTTGGGCTTGTTCAGTTTAACCCCAAGCTTCTGCCTGCATCCCGCAGCACCACAATGGCAATCTTGATCTGCACCAAATTGAACAAATCTGCTAAACTTGTTAGATTGGACTGAGAAAACAAAAGTTGTAGATGAAATTAATCTACTATGCTCGTTATAAATTTTGGTATGCTAAGTTAAACTCTGCTAATGTATACATGTGTGCAATCGGGAGTAAATTAAATAGCTGTTCAATTGTTCATACTGGTAATCATATGTCAAGTGCTCGCCCTTTTGTATGTCACGAGTAGCAAATATGCCAATTCTTGTTTCACCATCAATTATCCTTGAGAAGAAAATTGGAAGTAAACATGATCAGCCTACAAACTAAAAATGGTGAAAAAATCAACAATAGGGTCAGGAAAAAACCATTTCTGCATCTCGGTATTGGGACAGCAACTGTGATTTATATATCTTGATTTGTTTCCCTTAAATGTGGCATCAATTACCATATCCCGATTGATTTCACACAAGTAAAAGTTGGTTTCTCCACGATGTTTCATCTTCCAGAGCCTTTCCTCACAAGTTTTGTCATCAATAACTGCCTTATCAAAAGATTGACCACTAATCAAGAGATTGTGACAATACTAACTTGGATGCAAGAGGAATAGATTCACAGAGGGGACAAACTACTATCTCACCTTCACCCACATATTCTATAACAAATTCTCCTTGCTTAATGTCTTCATCTGCCACAATCCCGGACCCACATTTTTCAGTCTACAAGCAAACTTCACGTCTTGAGTAAACATAAATCAAAATATATCAACAGCAGTAGACATCAAACAAAATGCAAACTATCAATAGGACTGAGGATCAATTTTACAGGCTAAAGCTAGCTTTCAAGAAAAGAACAACTGCCTCAGCATATATTCAAAGTAGAAACAGACGGAGAAAGGGGAACAGGTGATGTTGGGTGGCGAAGGGATGAGGGGGAAAAAGACAGGTAGAATGAAGAAACAACTAGTTTTCCCAGATACAAAAAATCTGCATACAGCAAAAATGCCTCTGAGACATTCCTTAAAATCATGCAAGTTATGTTTCAGAGATTATCTCTTGATTCCCCCTTGCCTACCATACGAAATTGAGAATGTGACTCTAATATTTCTTGCATGTATTGCATACATCATTCCTTGCATGGATGCCTCTAGAAAAAGTCAAACAACTATACCGTTACAATTTTCATTTTTTTAACAGGCCGGTGTTGGAATGGCTTGTTAAGGCATGCGCTTCCACACTTGCAGCCCGAGGAGCAGCTTGACAGTAACATCCTGTAGAATAAGAGCACTCAAATCATGCATAAAAATTATCTGGGAAGCATATAGCATAACAATTCAAAAATACAAGTACAGAAGTTAATAAATATAGCAAACAGTATCTGCAACACATTTCCTTGTATGACCTGGCGAAGGCATATAGCATAACAATTAAAAAATACAAGTACAGAAGTTAAAGAGTATCTGCAACACATTTCTTTGCATGACCAGGAAAAGGCAATTTGTCCATGAACTAACAACTCAAAGTGTAGATAAGGCTTTAACAAACACAATCACAGTTGTAAAAATATTGTATATGGCAAAGGATATCATTCTTCACATACTTTTCTTTCTGTGAAGAACAAAAACAATCAAAACCAGGGCTATCAATAACTGGAAAAACTACATAAATCAATTCTTTTTTTCATTAGTAAAGACAAAAACTTAAATTATATTTTACATCTTCTTATCTGTTATAAACACTAAATCAAAACTAACAGTTTGGCATTAATAATCAAATATGCATAAGATTGCACATTTCTCAATCAGATGGACGGTGACACTTACAAACTACTAAAAATAAGGAAGCAATATACAGATCCCTGAGGACAGCACATGTACCAGTAATCAATGACAGATTTCCTTTCAGTCATTCAGTAAGAGCTCTTCTCCATATTATGCTTTAAACAAAGTTATAGTAAAATATCATTTTCTTAAGGAATCTTACCCACCAATAATAAATGTAATACAATGAGCATCATGAAATCCACATGGGCACACATTAACCATCAATCATCATTTCTTTTTGATAGTTGTAAATATAGGAGCACTGCAGCTGATAGGTGGATTGAACCTAGGAGCCTCTAGTGGACGTAGATACACTTGGCCATCTGATGAAGGCTGTCTGCCTCATCAATCAAGCATCATCTTTGTTATGATATTGTTCAGACTGAATTAGACAATTTCACAGTTAGTTGGGCATAAAACCTCCTCCCGTCTGCTTTTACTTGTCTAAAGGTGCCCTCACTAATATAAGTAGGCTTTCACTATTATAAAGAGGCAGAGTGTAAAGCGCACAATGTGCATCATTCAGCATCAAATATCTCAGTAACTGAAATCTATAGGTGAATCCTGGAAATAGTTATTATAATTTTTTAACAAGTACTGAATGGGAATGAATAGGTAAAGATGGTTTTATGGTCTGAAGGAACAGAAACAGGTGAAGGTATGTCTACGAAGAAGTACCACTAACTGTAATGGCCTCTCTAAATCACATAAACTTCAAATTTGCAGTCATAGAATAGATAAAAATTCTGTACCAAATCCACAAGACAAGGACATGCACAATGGAAACTGCACAAAACTTACCCACAGTGGCAATCTCTACCGCACACATCAGAAGAGCCGGGCAAAAGGGTGCAGGAACAAAATATGCCATCATCCTCAAGGCGCCTTTTGACCTTCTTAGTCATGTATATATCTTCCATTTCAATTAAACAAAAGCAAAATTATGACAGCGAAAGAGAAGAGGTGGGGTAGACTGCACAGAGAGAGAGAGAGAGAGAGAGAGAGAGAGAGAGAGAGAGAGAGAGAGAGAGGAGATTGAGGAAGGAAGGGGAAGCTTGATGTAAGGATATATAAAAGCAGAGGAAAATCATGCCATTAGCAGATACAAGAGCATAAAACTAAATCCTAAATACCATTTTCAATCAGCAAGATCAAACAAAAACTGGAGAACTAAAATATAATTTATGTGAAACATCAAATAAATCGAAAAAGAATAATTTTCAAACTAATTACAGAAGGATACTGCGCTTTATGAAGATGTATGGTGTAGGCTTCCATTTATTGAACCATTCTGGCAGTTCAAAGTCAACAGGATCCCCAATCTGCTTCAATAACATGTTGAATGCATGTCCAATGCGTACGCATTCAGAATTCTGATGAACAATAGAAATCACAGTCACTTAGAGTATAAAGAAAAGGAAAATGCCAACCTTTAATCAACCTAGTTAGAAATCCATATGCGTAGAATGATAACTTATTTCAGAATCTCGGTCCATGGTTACATGGTTGACCAGGACTATTTGATTGGCAGAATGGAATCATGACAAAAATTTGAATGGACCAATCAAGTTTCTGGCGTCCACCACATCATGGACCCATGCTATGTACATAATTTTTCCCAGACAAGGTTTTCGAAAATCAAATAATTCCAAGCAGCAAACACTGTGAATGCTTTCTTTTGTGTAAAAGTGTTGAAATATTTCAAAGAAACAAATAAATCCAGTATTTAGAGAAGAATTTGTTTTTTACATACAGAGAAGTGTTTCATTCAAAATGATGCAATCAACTTGTTTTATAAACTTCTACATGTTAAAGAGACAAGATAACCACCTTCTTTGTGGCCGGCATTGTCTCGATCCCCGAACAAGCTTAACCACGTAGAAATGAAAATGACAATTTACTACACATAAAAACACAGAAATAAGCACTCCATCAAAATCATAACGAAACATAATTCAATTTCGACTAATAACTACCAAATTCCAGTCGAAGACGCTCTCCCGTAAATTCATGAACCCTGCAATGCAATTGACATCGTAAGCCCCACCACACAAAACCAAAATCAAAATGCATATAGCAAAACATCAAGAATCAAACCTCTAACCTCTGTTTCCCTCTCTCCGCGCGTCAGTTCAAATGTATAAAAACTGAATTTCCCGCTCCGCTATATGGTGATTCAGTAATGTCATGAAGCCAAGAAGAAATCAATCCAATATAAAACAGAACGAAAACCTAATTCCAACGGAGAAACTGGAATGAGGAAGAGAATAATCTTTTTACCTTTAGGAGAAGAAGAAACTTGGAAACGAAGACAGATCTCAGAGGTGTGGTTTTGCTCGGTTTTTCTGCAACACCAAACTCATCATTTCTCTGAGTCGAGAGTCCCGAGTGGTGAGTGGGAGAGGAGGAGGATATCTAGGTGGTATGTTGCGCCTGAAACCGTACAAATCAAAACCTAGCCACATCTGAGCGGCCTAACCAGTTTTCATCCCCTACTTGTAACTCTTCAGGTTCCCGTTCATCGTTCATGCTATCACTGATAAGTCGCGTGCGGAGCACGTGAATTCAAGTCTGATGTATACATATAAAATGAATACGAATAAATGCGGCACGTTAATTCTTTTAATTTTCAATTTTCTTGAAATAAAATAAATATTATACATATAAAAGGAATATCAACAAATCTAACAGGGTAATTTTAAAAATAAATAATATTTCAAATACTAATTATAATTATATGTAGTATATAATAATAAAATATTAAACATTATTATTCACTTATATAAAAGCAAATATTTAAACAATTTTTTAAAAGTATTAACTAATAAATTACCACCAACAACTAAAAACACACTTCTTAATTATTTATATGATCAATATAGATTTAAAATTCATTGTCGAATTTTTTTTGTAAAGACTCAGAACTTAAAAAATAATAAGATAATAAATTAAATGCGGAAGTGAAATAATATAGTTTATAGTTTACATTCCTTACATAAAAATTTATAATGTCTAATAGTATTACGAGAATATCCCTTATAAAAGAACAAACAAAAATAATAATAATAATTAAGTATTTTAGAACGATCTTACTAGCTTCTGAAGGGAGTCTAGTTGGTGAACTTATTCACAACCCTCTTATTGATCGGGATTTGGGTATTAGTCTTTTTGATTTGAAATAGTTAATGAAAGGGTGAGCTACACTAACTTAGTAAAAATATCACACTACTCACCGATACATAAACTGAATGTTGGTAAAAATTATAAAAACAATCAATGAAGCTTTTGATTTAAGTAAATTCATTTATCATAAATTAAATTATTTATTGCATATATTTACTGTTATGAGATTTTCAAAATCGACTTATAGAGACAATAACTCAAATAACATCTCAATCTCATTTTCAAGTGAAATATAACAATAATTTTCTTTTTTTATTTGCTTACTGGTATCTCTAGGGGCTTATAGGGATGTCGTACTACGCGTGAACCGATACCCAACATTGTCAACTAACTGGCCGTCTCTATACCCCATCCGATATGAACGCCAAAAATATCATCCCTCAATACCTTATTCGGTATGATGGTGAATAGGATCGTCCCCATACCTCATTTGGTATGAGCGCCAAAAATATCATTTCTCGCTACCCTGTCCGGCACGAGGCAATATTCACGATAGGGTTCCCTATATACCAGGTCGATCCACCATCTCCCAAGATATTCAGTAAGATTATCATTTATTAATTCACATGATCAAACAATTTTCCGTTTGCATATTAATTACTAATTTTACAAATCAACCACAAATCACACTAGACAAGCAATATATATATATTAAGGAAGCACAACTGAATCATTCAAGTATTTTAGTATATCATCATGTATTTAAAGCTGTAAATTCAACAATAAGTTATATAGGATAACAAATAAATGACTAACCAGTTTTCAACTCCATTAGTAACCAGTAATAATTCTCGAAGTTTTTTAAATTATACAAAATACTATATTATTGATTATTAAGTTTCAATTCCATAACAGAGAATAAGGTGATAGATTCTTATATAAAACACCGAACTTTTTACTGCGCCTATTGGCGGTCTTCAAATTTTTTGAATTTTCTTACGGAGATTAAAACACGTTTTACATACCTAAAAATACCCCCAAAAATTTAAAATTGGTGTTAAAAAATATTTTTCGGCTAATTTTAGAATTTCGACACCGTGGCACCGCCTAGCTTCAGCAATGGCACTGCCGCAGTTTGCCTCAACTTGGCCATTTTTTGTCAGTTTTAACCGATTTTGGCCAGTTTTATACCCATCTATGCGATGAAACATGTTAGAGGGCCTTAGTTGGCCCAAAAAAATCAAAAAATAAAAACCTACTTGCAGTGGAATTTTTCGGTGCGGTGGCTATGCCAGCTCACATTCGTAGTTGAGCATTTTTCTTCGATCAACATATAAAAAATAGAGTGGTGAACACAATTGTGAAAAAATTACACGAAATGAGAAATGAGAAGGGGCTCATTGGAGGCAGTTGCGAATTTTGTTCGCGGCGGTGCCGCCCGTAATTTTCAACTCATCTGTCGTTCCTTTTGCTCTGATTTAGCCATGGGGGTGCTCAGAATCAAATTTCGAGTGAATAGAAGAATTTTTACTTTTTTTGGCGGTCAAAGGTGGCTCCGGCACAGCGGTCGGCTCCATTTTTCAGCGGTTGGTTCTTCTTCTCTAGCGGGAAGTTAGCAGTTAGGGTTTGGGTTCGGTGTGATGCGAAATATTTATATTTATCTCGCGTAAATCTAGATCTTTCATCGCGTTTGATCTCAATCATTCGATCGCGTTTAAAAATGAAATGAATTTGAACTATTCATCGCGATTTGATCTTAACCATTCGATCACGTTTAAAGAGGAAATGAATCTGTATCGTCCATCGCGTTTAATCGCAACCATTTGATCGCCTTGAGGAGGGAACGGATCCGAACTGTCCACGCACGTGAGAACACTTCTGGACTGTCCGATCGCGGGGCATGAGGATCGCCAGCGTAGCCTTCAGTATGATACCGAGTTAGCGTGTCTTGCCACACGGCGTGCTTTATTCGTGGGGACTATTGACTTAGCGGTCCTACGTGGCACAATTTTTTTTAATTACATTCTGATTCTCAGTTTTAATTTTTCTTTCAAAAATACTATACGAACTCAAATTTTTATCTATTTTTCTCAAAATTATTTTTAATTTCATCATTAACTAATTAAAATTAAAATTTATTAATTTCAAAAATAAATTTATATATATTTTTATGTTAAAATTAATTTTATGCTAAATTATGAGCCCGAGTCTTACATTTTTAATGTAGTCGAAATAAAAAAAAAAACAAATTAGATGCTTGTTAAATAATAATAAAAAAAACTTATTTTTAATTATTGTTTACTAAATTTTAATATAAATTGCATATGACCATCTAATGTACAAACTAATTAATTTTATAAAAATATAATAATATGTAATCTAAATATTTAAAGTATTTATATGATAATATTTGGATAGAAGTGAATCAACATGACATAGAGAGCTTAAAATCTGTATTTACTATCACTACTTGTTTATATAGAGGAGAAGAAACAACTTATTGCATGATACATATGAGATTTTTTACCATATTTTTTTAGCTTGGACAACATCATACTAATATTTAAATTCAAAACTACACATGGTAAGAGTATCCAAGACATGAGTTAGCGTGATGGGTTCCATAACCATGATGTAACAACCCTGAAAATCAAAAAAAAAATATATAATAATTTAAGTGCAGAAGCAAAACAAAATGTTAAGGTTTACATCTCTTACACAATAACTTAAAAGTACTAAACAAACATTATAGAATGAATTCTCTGAAAGAAATACGAGAAATAAGAAAAATAATAGAAAATAAAAAATATCTAACATCTACTCGCAATCTTCTTGCGGATCGGGCTCTGGAACCAAGTCTTCTTAATCTGAAATGGTTAAATAAAGAATGAGCTACACTGGCCCAGTAAGAATATCATACTATATTACCGGCACAGAAGTAAAGGTTGGTATAAAATCGAAAATCACTAATTGAGTATTAAATTTAGTAAATTTATTTATCAATAATAAAATCATTTCTCGTTCACTAAACATAGTGGAATTTATGAAAACAACCTATAAAAATAATAATACCATACAGATCATAATTTAATGCACAATTAGCAATATAAAATATATTATAAATTCATATCCATTAACAATAAACTAAATCATAACTGTTCCTCATTTCACCGGCCTAGTAGTATCCATGGGGGTTCATAGGGGTGTCCCTGCTACACGTGAACTATTTCCCTTAATAATATCAATTACGGGGCCGTCCTATACCCCGTCCGGTATGAGCGCCAAATTACCAAGTCTCCATACCATATCCGGTATGAGACAATATTTACAGTAGGGTTCCCTATGAACCCGATCCGTCCACCATCTCCCAGGATATCTAGTGAGACTGTCATTCTATATGTTTATTTAATCACACCCATTTCCTGTTTTTCTTTAGTCTCGGTTACCAAATCAAAAATAATCACATAAACAAATAAACATGTATCCGGTAATGCAATTATGTCTTAAATCCCAAAATCAAACAGTGGTCAGGTAAGACAGTAATACATGTATTTAAACCATAAAATAGATAAACCAGATACCATCATACTTTTAGACTGTAAAATAAATCAGCAGGGAACAATGTCTGGTTCGGGCTCCATTAGCAATCCGTAATTAATTATACACATCTATTTAATTTGTATAAAATACCGTATTATTATTTATTCAAACTTCAAATCTATGATAGGAAATAGGGTGAGGGGTCCTTACTCGATTTGACACCGAAAAGCTAAATGGTTTACTATACCTACGGGCGGTCCCTAGGTTCTCCGAATTTTTATCCGAGAATTGAAACGCGCTTATGGTACTTACAAATGTTCCAAATAAACCCAAAATAAGTCTCAAGACCTGCTCGGCCAATTTCAAAAATTCGACACGGTGGCTCTGCCGTGCTCCGGTGACGGCAGTCTACCTCGGGTCAACCGTTTTTGACAGAATTCGGTCGATTTTACATCGATTCCTGCGAGCACACACGCTAAAGGGCCTCGGTGGGCTAAAAAATACAAAAAATCGAAACTCACTGGCGGTGGGGCTCTCTAGTGCGGCGGCTCATCCGGTTTACGTTGTGGTTGGGTATTTCACTTCGGTCAATCTGTAGAGAAGAAAATGGTGATCACAACGATGGAAAAATTACACGAAACGGGAATCGAAAAAGGCCTTATCAGAGGCAGTTTGTGAAATTTCCCACGGCAGAATCGCCGGGCTTCGGCGGTATTTTTCGGCCAATTGGCCGGTTCTTTCACTCCCATTTAGGCATGGGTGGGTTTAAAATTGAATTTCGTACAAAATGAGAAATTTTTTACCTTTTTGGCGGTTGAAAAGGGTTCCAGTGCGGCGGGGGGTGGTAGCGGTCGGCTCTCCGGCGGCTGGGTTGTCTTCTCC